GGCGTGGGCTGGGGTCACCTTGCAGGGGCGTGGGCTGGGGGTCACCTTGCAGGGGCGTGGACTTTGGCAGGGTGAAGAATTGGATCATCTGCAATGAGTCCTCCCTGAGGCAGGGAGGAGCCGGCATTTACGGAGTCTGTCACAGGACAGACTCAAGTACCCGTGTCTCCCCGAAAATAAGCCCTACCCATAAAACAAGCCCTAGCAGGATTTCCAAGCATTTGCGCAATAGAAGCCCCACCCCGAAAGTAAGACCTAGTGCTGGGCGTGGCTGTGCAGTGCGTCTGCACAACCCGTGCATTTTTTTATCACGGAGCGGGAAAGAACACGAGCAGCCCTTCTCATCCGCCCCGTGAGAGCTCTAGTGCTCGGCAGGAGAGATGGGGCCAGTGTTTCTAAAGGAAACAGAGTCGCAAGACATTCAGGGTGGGATTCGGGGTTTGGAGAGTGATGATGATGTCCCAGAAGAAGACGACTTCACTATATTTGAATCAATGTAGATGGTTGTACCATACTTTAAAAACAAACAAACAAAAAAACCCACACATCCCCTGAAAATAAGCCCTAGGGTGTCTTCTTGAGGAAAAATAAACATAAGGCCCTGTCTTGTTTTCCGGGAAACACGGTAGCTCTAGCGCCCGCAGGGGCGTCCTCCTCCCGGCTCACACGGCAGGGGGACGGGTGCTGGTTCCAGCCGGCTCCCGCGGCTGCCCAGGGAGCAGGTGGCAGGTCCATCTCTCTCTCTCGTGGGCCGGGCGGCAAACTCCCCTGGGCACCTGCTGGGCGTGTCGGGCACCGTCTGGGCTCTGTCCTCAGGGAGGCGGGCGGCACACACAGGAGCCAACATAAACGGCGCCTCCAGGTGCTGGCAGCCGTCCCAAAGAAGGTAAACGGGTGACGTGGCGGCACATGCTGGGGGTGGGGACGGTTTTGAGTTGGGAGCTCAGGGAAGGCTCCTCTGAGGAGGGGTATTTGAGCCACAATCTGAGTGATGAGAAGGACGCGGCCTTGCAGAGGTCTCGGGGAAGCGTTCTTGGAGGTGCAAAGGCCCTGGGGCCGTGTGGTAGGGAGGGATGTAGGTGCAAAGGACAGAGGGTAGCCAGTGGCCGGCATTCTGCCCCAAGCGTCTGTCCTGGGAGCCCATACAGGACCGCAGAGGGAGGGGACTCCAGAGCAAGGCTGCCTGGGTTCAAAGCCCGGTACCCTGCCTCAGTTTCCCCATCTGCTGAGCGCATAGACCCGTGGGGGGATGGAACAAGGGGATCCACACAAATGCTCAGGTCAGGCCTGGCATGTGGTGAGGCTTCATCGGCACATAACCCGTGCAAAGGCCCTGAGGCAGGTCACCTGTGTCACCTGTCGTCACCTGTGTCACCTGCCCTCCCTCCCGGCCCCACGGCTTTATGAGGGCCACTGAGGTCACGGCAGAATGGACTGGAGGCTCGTTACTCCCAGAGGTGGCAGGACGTGAAGACGGGCTTCCACCCTGAGGCTCACGGAGCCGCCTCCCACGGAAGGTTCTAGAACCCGGGCCGGGAGCACGGGGCCTCGGCCAATTCCCAGCCGGGCAGGGCGGGCTGGGAACCACAGGCGGACAGGGACAGTGATGGATGGAGAGGCCTGTTCCGGCACATTCTGTGTTCTTTCCCACCGGCCCTGCCCGGACTTGGAGAGCCGTTTCCTCTGTCATCGGGTTAGTGACGTTCGGCCGGGACTGGACGCGCCGTCTGGGAAAGGCTCGGGCTCTCCCCGGGGGCCCTGGGGAGCCGCCGCCAGGGTCTGGGAACTTTCCGGAAGGGCGGGAGCTCGCCGTGCCGGGCCGGAGGAGCTCACGGCCTTGGGGGCAGCTGCTCTGCGGGAGCCCGGCCTGAGACCCGGCACCGCCCGAGGGTGCTCACGCCAGCCCCGCCCCGCCCCACCCCGCCGGGCCCCGCGCCAGGCTCCCGCGCAGCGTGAGAAAGACAGACCAGGCCCTGCGGGGGGCCGGGGGGAGAGACATTGAGAAACGCCCCGTCCAAGCTGGGCAGAGACCCGCGGAGGGAGGGAGGGCCAGGCCAGCGCCCGCCCCCCGCCGTGGCCAGTCGGGAATAGACGGCTGAGCCAGCTCGCCCGGATCCACGCGTGGCTCTCTGCCGCCCTGTGCCTCGGTTTCCCCACCCGTGAGCAGTGTTTATGCCGGGGCTGTCGGAGGGTCGGTGAGGGTTGGCTCGGCCCCTCCTGGGAAGATTATTCCCAGGGACACGTCACTCTGAGCCGGGCAGGAGCGAGGAGGCGTCGTACGTGGTTCTGAGGGCTGTACCCGGGGGCGGCAGCTGCCTGGGGACCCCCGTGTTGGGTGACCGTGGTGGGGGCGTCCCTTCCCCGGAGTCCCCGCCTCACTCTGCGCCTGCAGAGCCGGGCCCTGCTGTCGCCAGGGCGGGTTTGAGCCCCTGCGGAGCCGGCTCGAGGGCGTCTAAAAGGAGACGGGGTGTCCTGGGGACCGGGGCTGCCGCGTGGGGCTGGGACACACCGGCGGCCACGGCTCCCTCGTGTCCGTGGCACCCTGAGCTCCGGAGAAGAACCCCGTGGTGTCGGGAAGATCGTCCTCACGCTCACGTGTGCACACGGAGTCGGGGCACCTGGGGCGCCACCCCGGCTCGGAGCGATGGGGACACCCCCACACATACCCCGAGGCAGCCGGCCCGCCCCACGTTCCCACAGCAACACTTCCCGGCTGGTCCAGGTCAGGGCTCGGCGGGTTTCCTGGAGCTTCTGGCTCTGAGGCCCAGCACGCATCACTTGCCCTCCCCGAGCCTGCCTCAGTTTCTCTGTCTGTGAAATGGGTGTGCTCAGGGACCTGGGCCGTGGGGTGCCGGGAATACACCGCGGGCTTGTGCTGTGCGGAAGGAGACCGGGCGCAGCGTCCTGCTCAGGGTCAGGCTGAACCTCACCCTCACCCTCACCCTTGAGACAGAGATGGCCCCTTCCTGGTGCCTGTCAGCCCCCGGGGTGGCCTGGCCCTTCCCGGGAAATGGGCTGACGGGTCATCGGCCCCTGTGACGCGCCCAGGCAGAGCCTCCCGGTCTCCTGTGTAGCGGGCGGCGCGGGCCGCCTCGCTTTCCTCTCTGCCCAGGGGAAGTGGCGTTGAGTCCTGTGGTTGCCGGGCGCCGTCTGTCCCGGCCTCGTGTTCAGAATGCCGCCGTGGCAGGTGGTGCGAGGCGGGCGCTTGCCTCGTGGCAGCTGTGGCGGTTCGGGGTGACGGGGTTCCGTGGCCTGGGTGGCCCGGTCTCCCCGTGGTGTGACGCGCCCGCCCAGCACCCGCCAGCCGGCCCCCCACCGCCCCCCACCGGCCGGCTGGGCATCCTCCCCGCTTCTGGGCTTGCTTCGAACCTCTCGGCTGCAGCGCAGCCGCCTCCAATGAAGGGCTTTGGAGACTCCGGACGGCCGGCGTCCCCAGCGCCCGGCCTGCGTCCCCAGTGCCAGCCCTTGGCCCCGTCCCTGCCCGCCCCACCCACGAGGGCCCAAGGGCAGCCTGCTCGGGCGGACGCCGGTCTCGACGGGCCGCACCCCGCGGGGCAGCCGGCCACGTTTGCCTTCTTTGGTCGTCACCGGGGCCTGGCCGCCAGCCCTGCAGCCGGCACCGCGGCGACGGGCCCCACAGCTGCGGCCACACGTGTGCCGGGCCGTCAGCCGCTGACAGGCGGGCGGAGGGGCGGGGCGGGCGCCCGCGGGAGGGACAGGTGCTGCTGCCCGGGTGGCTGCTGTCACCGGCTGCTGCTGCTGCTCCCCGCCCTCCCCGAGGGACCCCGAGCGCAGAGCTGGTCGGAGCCCCTGGGCGCCCGCCCGCCCGCCTGCACCGGGACCCTGGCACGACCTGAGCCTCCCGAGCTTTTCTGCCCCCGTGTGACGGGCGGGCGGGGAGATTAGGTGAGGTCTTTGCGGATGCCTTGTGCGTGTGATCAGGGGAAAGTCATTTGTTAATCTCCCCCCAGAGAGGCCGGTGGGCCGGCCCACACCAGGTCTCTGCACCTGCTGATGGTGGTCACGGTGATGGTTGGCACGGCGACGGTTGGCAGGTGTCACGGGCCCAGACGCTGGCCCCGTCTCCTTCCCCGGCCGGGCTGGGCCCCACAGCTGTCAGGGGGAGGGGCGTGTGGGGGTCCCGGGCAGTGTGGGCGCTGCCCTGTCCTCACCACGGCCGGCTGGGGGTCTGAGCCGAGACCCCTGAGTCTTCCCGGCCTGGTGCGACCCCCCCCCATGCAGGGCGCACCCCCGGACGCTCGGCGGGGAGGCCCCAGTCCGGCCCTTCAGGGCTCCCCACACTGGGCAGGTGCCTCACACTTGTGTGAGCTCAGGCCACGTGGGAGCCGTGTGAACCCTCGGGGCCTGACCGCTGCCGCCGTGCCCAGGTGGTGCTGACCGGTGGCGGCCACAGTCCGCGTGGCCAGGGCAGGAACGTCCTGAGATCGACACTTCCCCACCTTGGCTGGGCACACGACTCACCTGGGCAGGAGAGGGTTAAATACAGGTGCCCCCCCCACACACCCTGTGTGGACACCCCTCCCAGGGGGCTGGTAGTGTCTGACAGCAGAGGACCCTGAACTGCCTCCCTGATGGCAGCAGCTTTGCCTGGGAATGTGCCGGAATGCAGATTCCCGGGCCCGGAACAGACCTGCTAAAGGGATTGGGGCGGGGAGGCTGCACCTGTTGGGATGCACCCTGTGTGCTGGTGCAGGCGGAACACGGACTGCAGCCTGGGTGCTCCCAGCCCCCCAAGCTGCAGGAGATGCAGGCCTGGGGGCTCCTCGGTGCGGCTGCACCCTGAAGGTGCCCACCTGTCACCTGTCACCTGCCGGCCCACCTGTCTCGGGCTGACCCAAGCCTGTGCACTCAGGCCCCAGACCAGTGCAGGGGTGGGGTGGTGGGGAGGGGCTTGGCTGGGAACCGCAGGCCGGAGCCTCTGCCCTGGCCTTCCTCACCCTCCTCACCCTCTGTCTCTCTCTCTCTCTCCCCCCCGGCCCGGCCACAGTGGACGGCAGGAGCAGGACACCGCGATGCCCGACTCCCCCGCGGAGGTGAAGGCGCAGCCCCGGGCCACGCCCCCCGCCATGCCGCCCCCGCCGCCCGCCGCCTCCCAGGGGGCCGCACGGCCCCCGTCCTTCACGCCGCACACGGGTGAGTGACCCCCACCCTGGGCAGGGGGACCGCCGCCGCCTCCAGGGAGCCCCCCACCCCCACACGGTGCGACATTCTGAACTCTCGGCCTGAACCAGCAACCGCTGTCGCCGCTGGGCCTAGGAGTGGGGTCCATGGTCGCCAAGAGCTGAGCCTTGGAGGCTCCAGTCCCGGCCCTTCCACTCTGGGTGCCTCCTGGACATCTCGGGGCCTGGGGTCCTCGTCCCCAGAGCAGGGCTGGCTCCCGCCTACTGAGGGTGCCACCTGCCACACGCAGAGGGACAGGGGCCTCCCCAGGGTCACAGCAGGCTCCCTGAGTGGAGGCCCCGCCAGAGCCTCCCATTCCAGGAGTTCTGTAGCCTCTGCAGGGCTGAGGACTGGTGAGCTCCAGGCCCATGGCCAGGCAGGGTAGGCAGGACCTTGCAGGCCCCGGGCAGGTGGGGCTGGGCCTGCCGGGCACACTCAGCTGCTCTGGTGGGCTTCCAGGGCTCTCCGGGGCAGGGGCGGCTGCTTCTCTGCACAGCCGCCATTGGAGCACCTTTTTTCTTAGGAAAGAACCTTTTAGCTGGACATGGTGGCGCATGCACCTGTAGTCCCAGCTACTCGGGAGGCTGAGGCAGGAGGATGGCTTGAGCCCAGGAGTTTGAGGTTGCTGTGAGCTAGGCTGACGCCACGGCACTCACTCTTGCCGGGGCAACAGAGTGAGACTCTGTCTCAAAAAAAAAAAAAAAAAAAAAAAGGAAAGAAACTTGTGATCCAGTGACATTGGGGTCCCAAGTGGTTGGGTAGACGGAGCCCCCAGGCTTGGGCCGGTATGGGGGAAACAATGTTTTCTGCCCCACCGAGGCCAGAGCTGGGAGTGTGTCCTCCGTGTTCCTGGTGGTGATGGGGGGGGTCCACATGCCACCCCCAAACGCCCGGGCTCTGGAACCCAAATGAAGCCCCCGTTCTGGGGGGAGAAGCCTCAAATTCCTCATCCCGGCGGCCGCTGGTCCTCCCCAGGCCAGGATGAGCGGCTTCCTCAGCCCATCTACTGCTTCCTGTGCCCGGAAGGTGGGCAGGGCAGGCTGCAGTCTGCCCCCAGGGCGGGCGGAGCGGCCACCCCCTACCTGGATAAGACGTTGGCTGTCAGGCCCGGGAGCAGGTGCAGGGCCAGCCTGCCCCGTCTGTGGGACGCCGGCTTTGAGCCGGGCTGGGGAGTGGGGCGACACCACCTGCTCCCGGGTGCAGCCACCGAGAGGCAGGGACATCTGGGAATGTGCCCAGTGCAGCGCCCAGCACACAGTAGGAGCTTAATGGCCTGACACCCCCCTCCCTGTACCTGCAACTCGACCAGAAGATTCCGGCTCTCTGCAGGGGCTGGTCCAAGCCAGGGCCCCGCTGTGCGTGGAGACAGGAATGGGCCCGGCCCTCCTCCTCCTCCTCCTCCCATGGCCAGGATGGGGCTGTGGCCGCCCAGACTCAGTGCTCAGCGGTTCTGCTGGGCCTGGCCATGCGGGGCCCGTGTCTACCCCGTGCTGGCCATGGCGTTCTGGTGCAGTGGTTGGCTGAACTTTCTCACGTGGCAGCGTGGCCGGGCTGGGGTCCTCATTCTCTCTTGTGCAGAAGCGTCCTCACCGTGGGGCTGAACCATGGGCATCTCTGCCCACTGAGCCGTGTCTGCCCATGTCCGGCTGCGTGGGCAGAGGGGAGGGGCTGCCGCCCTGTGTCCCGTTCACCTGTCTCCACTCAGCCCAGGGCCAAGGGTTGGTCGGCCGTGAGGGCCACCGCTCCCAGGCCGGTGGGGGAGACAGTGACGCCCCCCGGAGTGTGCTCGGCCCCCCACGCCAGGGACAGAGAGACCGTCCCGTGGTCTGCGTGGACTCACGGGGCCTGGTTGCTGACCTCCGTGGCTGCCCTGCCCCCGCCCCACCTGCTGTGTCCGTCTGTCCCGAGAGCCCCGGACCGGAGATCCCCGGTCGAGACCAGCTGAGGCCTTAGAACAGATGTGCGGGCAGCCGGCGTGTGCGGCTCAGGGTCCCTCTGGCCCCTCAGCGCTCACCCCACGCCGAGCCACATTTCTGGGGTGGGGGCCCCGGCTCCATTTAGAGAACCCAGAGCTATAAAGACACAAGGATGGCTGGGCGCGGTGGCTCACGCCTGTAATCCTAGCACTCTGGGAGGCCGAGGCGGGCGGATTGCTCAAGGTCAGGAGTTCAAAACCAGCCTGAGCAAGAGCGAGACCCCGTCTCTTCTCTAAATAGAAAGAAATTAGCTGGACAACTAATATATAGAGAGAAAAATGAGCCAGGAATGGTGGCACATGCCTGTAGTTCCAGCTACTGGGGAGGCTGAGGCAGAAGGATAGCTTGAGCCCAGGAGATTGAGGTTGCTGTGAGCTAGGCTGACGCCACGGCACTCACTCTAGCCTGGGCAACAGAGCGAGACTCTGTCTCAAAAAAAAAAAAAAAAAAAAGACACAAGGAGCCTTTTTCTTCTCTGAGCCGACGCTTTGGTTCCATCGGGTCGGCAGGAACATCTGTCCCAGGCTCCAGCCGCCCCCCAGGTGGCCTCAGATTTGTTCCCTGACCCCCAGAAAGCCGGGTGGTTGACCACGTCCCGCACCTGGCTGGTGGCCACCCTCGAGCAGGCCTCACGGCTCTGCCGGAGCTTCCCCGGGGATCGGCCTTGAGCCAAGCTGATGAGAGACTGGCCCGGAACCGCGAGTTGCTGGCTGCTCCTGCGCAGGGACTGCCCTGGGCTGGTCGGGACCATTGAGGCAAGGCTGGCGGGGTGGGCAGGAGGCTGAGAGAAGAGAGGACTCGGGAAGGCGCAGGGACCCAGACTGGCTCCTCTATGGCTGGGCTCCATCCTACCTTAATTCCCCCTGTGACGGTGGGCTCACTACCTTACAGAGCTGCAGTCTATGCCCCTGTGGCTTCTGCCCACTCAGCTCAGACAAATTAAATCTTCCTTCCTATTTGGGGGCTTTCTTCCCCCAAGCCTGCCCCACCATGTGGCTCATTTTAGAGCCTCCAAGTCCGGCATTTCTAGTCACTTTTAAAATACACAGCTTGGGCTGCAGGTCCCTTGAGGATGGTACCAATGGGTCTCCAGGCACCTTCTGGGAAGAGGGCTTTAAAAAACCAATCCATGCTGGCCGGGCGCGGCAGCTCACGCCTGTAATCCCAGCACTCTGGGAGGCCGAGGTGGGAGGATAGCTTGAGCTCAGGAGTTTGAGACCAGCCTGAGCAAGAGTGAGACTTTGTCTCTACTAAAATTAGAGAAAATTAGCCGGGCATGGTGGCGCATGCCTATCTATAGTCTCAGCTACTTGGGAGGCTGAGGCAGGAGGATCGCTAGAGCCTGGGAGTTGGAGGCTGCAGGGAGCCGTGGCCACACCATCGCACTCCAGCCTGGGCGACAGAGCGAGACCCCGTCTCCATTAAAAAAGAAAGAAAAGGAAAACCGCCCCACGCAACAGGGTGAAGGAGGGGCGAGGATTCTCGCAGACGCCCCAGTGAGACCCCCAGCCCGGCCCCGATATTTTGCAGGAGGAAACTGAGGCCCAGAGAGGGCAGCGGAGGCCCAGGCGGAGGCAGCGTCCGAGCCCCCAGACCGCTGCCGCCCGCCCGCCCCTGCTGACCGCCTGTTCTTATTTTGCTCGCAGATCGAGAGGACGGGCCCGCGCCGGCACTGCCCCACGGCCGGTTCCACGGCTGCTTAAAGTGGTCCATGGTCTGTCTTTGTAAGTAACACGCCAGGGACCACGGCCCTCCACTCACCGCCCTGCGCCCACGCGGCGTGCGCCGTGCCGGTCCTGCCTCCTTTTAGAGGGGCTCCGAGAGGGGCAGGTCCTCCCGGCAGAGCAGCGGGGCCCGAGTCCACAGACCCCCAGCCACGTGCTGTGTGGCCCCAGGCAGGTGGGCAGCCTCTCTGGGCGGCCCCTTCCCCAGGGGTGCAGGAGAGTGAGGGAGGCCGGTCCTGGGGTTCTGAGAAGTGGGGCAGCCATCCGAGGGCGGACCCCAAACCCACACGGAGTCCCTGGGCAGGTGCGACCCCCTGTGCCTCAGTTTCCCCACCTGTAAAAAGGGAGTATTTTTGGTGCTTAGCGTTGAGGGTGACGCAGGCAGCCGGGAGGGGACTGGGGGGGGGGGCCTGGCCCACGCGGGTGCCCGGTGGACACTAGTCACGCGGGACGTTCCATCAGAGCGCCAGGCCACACTGGAGCCATCAGGGGGACGCCGGCCCATCCGGTTCAAGCCAGTTCAGTGGCACAGCCCGGCGTAGCCGCCACGTAGTTGCCGGGCCCTGAGAACGAGGCGGACCGGCCCTGCGTGTTACTCTGGTCCTAAGCTGCTGTCTCTGTGGTGTGGGGCTGTGGCAGCCGTGTGCTGGCGTGTGGCACGTAGCCCCGCATCGGGGCTGTTGTCATCGGCCGTGTGGCTCTCTGACCGTGGCAGCCGATTCCTGGGTCCAGGGAGCTGCCTGAGCGGGGAGGGTGGGGGGCTGCCTGCGGGGTCCCCTGTCCCAGCCCGACCCCTGCAGGGCCCTGAGGCCGGGGGGGGGGGTGCGGGCCGGCTAGCGTGTGCCCCCAGACCTCACCCGGGACACGTGTGTGGTCTAACTTAGTAACACACCTGTTGCGGGAGCGCGGGCACTTGTGCCGGGGCTATTTTCGGCGTCTCTTTAGCAAGTGCTGAGCCGGCCCGCGGGCGGGAGTGGGGCAGCGGGCGGCGCACAGGCTGCCGTGGCAGGACCCCGGCGCCCGGGCAAGGCTGGTGAGCGAGCGCAGGGAGGCCGGGCCGGGGGCTGGCGGTGCGGCAGGCGGCTCGGGCGGTGCCGGGGCTTGGAAGCCGCTGGAAGGTCCAGACCCCCGGTGACCGTCCAGCTTGGCCTTGAGAGGGGAGCCTCCTGCCGCGGGGACGTCTCCATAGCGGGTGGGGACAGGCCACCGCTCTGCCGGGCCGGGTGACAGTGAGTGGCCATCCTCGGTGGTGACCGGGCGCGTGTGTCCAGGGTGGGGTCGGCCGGAGCTCGCCGGCGAGGGGAAGACAGTGCCGCAGCGGGGTCCTTCGGGCAGAGCCTAGAGGGGAGGGACCGGAGCCGCCCTCCACCCCGACGGGAGGTGAGCCGGGGATCGTGGTGGCCCGTTGGGCTGTCGCGGCTGCGCGTCCATCCTGCGCCCCCGGAGCTTCCCAGATCGTTGAGACCCGGGGCGGCAAACAGGTTTCCACGTGCACGAGCGCTTCGAGGGGCAGCTGCGTTGAGAAGGATTCAGAGCCCCGGTGGCCCCCGGGTTCCAGTCCTCCAGTCTGTCAGTCAGGGGAGGCAGCTCACACGCTGGAGTTTTAGCTGCCTTTAGCGGGGGGATCCAGAACCCCACTCGGCGGGGGGCTCTGGTCACCGAGCAGAATCAGCACGTCTGCACGTAAACCCAGCCGGGGCGTCTCAGGGCGCCGGGGAGACGCCCCAGGGGCGTGTGCAGCAAGACAGGCCCCCTGGGACCCCCTGTGGAACTCAAGGTGGGTTGAGGGACACTTGCAAATGGGGAAACTGAGGCCAGGCCCGAGTCCGACACACAGGGCATATCCAGGACTGGCAGCAGGACCCGGCCTGGGGCATCTGGGGGGTCCTGAGCCGTGGGCCACTTGCCGTCCCGGCCTCTGCCCTGCGGCACGGCCCAGGCAGTGGGGGGTAGGCAGACCAGGGCCCTGTCCCCGGGGAGAGGGGGGTTCCCTAACAGTGACATGCCTGCCTGTCCCCGCCACCGTGGACCGCTGAGCTCGGGTCCTGCTGCAGCCGGGGCCCAAGACCCCCCAGTGGTCGCTCAGCCTGTGGGGAGGCCGTGGCAGGAGGTCAGTTCTCGGAGCCAGGCTGCCCCGGTGGAGGAGGGGGAGCACGTGATAATAGCACCCTCTGCGTGTGTGCAGGGTGCGCCCCCAGCCCCGCAGCCCTGCCGTGGGGAGCGGCGTTCGCCGGCCGGGCCTGGACTCCTGAACCCCGACAAGCGTCAGGGGAGGCTGGAGCCGGAGGTCGCCGTCCAGCCTCAGGGTTAGGCCGGGAGGGCGCCCGGTGCGGGCAGGGCCGGTTCCGGAACCCCCGGGCCTGCGGTGGGGGCAGAAGTGACTGGGCCCAGTGACAGCCACAGCGCGGGAGGCCGGTCAGCAGCGGGCACCCCCTTCCCGACAGGCAGGGCAGGCCCGGCCGGGGCACCTGCGCCCCACGGAGCCGGCAGGGGAACCACTTCCCAGGTGTCCCCGGCACAGGCCCGCCAGGTGCCAGGACGTGGCTGGAACCCCGGGGGAGCTGGGCCTGCAGGGCGGGGGCTCCGAGCACCTGGGCCCGGCGAGGGAGGGGCACCCGGCGCCGCAGACCCGCCGGACAGGGAGTGCGTGAGAGACGTGTGTGCATGGGGGCAGGCGGGCGGAGAGCGTGGCGTGGAGACAGGGCTGGTTCCGGGAGCGTGTCCGGGCACCGGAGGGCGCAGGCCGGCTGGGCTGAGCACCGCAGGCCGGGCTGAGGTGTGGGGGCCGCGGGTCTCCCCAAGGCGGCCGGTCCCCTCCCCGCCACCAAGGGCCCTGGGAGCCCTGTGACCTCTGACCCATCTGCAGACGCTCCTGAGACCAGGGGATGCAGAGCGGGCAGCCAGGTCATGAGACAATTGTCACGGGTGCGGCCTTGGCCTCTGTCACCCAAGATTGACCTGCCCCAAGACTCTACGGCAGCCTCAGGCGTCGGCCAGGGCCCCGGGACGCTGACCCCATGGGCAGGGTCAGGCAGGCGCATTGGCCCCTGCAGCCCGACCGTCAGCTGTCCCTCAGGTCACCCGCGTGACCCGCACCGCCAGGGCCTGTGTGCGCAGGCGTCCGCCTGTCCTTGGCTGTCCCAGCCCCGGCTGCTGCTCTCGGAGCCCCGAGCCGCTGCCCCTCGCTGGGGAGGCCCCGGCGGGCGGGTTGCTTGGGGCCGTCATTGCAGAGGCGTCCGTCCCCACCCTTGCGATGGGGGGGGACGAACGACTCACCTCCCGAGTCCCTGCAGCCCCAGAAAGGGGGACGTGAGCCAGCAGGCCCCGACGGGAGGCGCCGAGCCGGTCGTAGGTCTGGGGGCGGAAGGGCCGGACCGCGGCCCAGAGCACGGCCAGGGCTGGCGCCCGGCCCGGAGGCCACACTCAGACCAAGGTCACGCCACAGCCACCGCCCGCCAGTGGGGAGCCCGGGGTGAGGGTGTCCCTCCTTGGGTGCCAGTGTCCACGTCCGTAGAGGGGTGCACGTGTCCCTCATAGCGTGGCTGGGAGGACAGACAGGTGACACGCCCCGGCACTGGGCACAGCAGCCCCACGAGGCCCTGGGACCCCAGTGCCCCCTCCCCCGCCCGGTCACCGCTGTCCCATGTCTCCTCGTTGTCACCGTTGCTGTTGACATCGTGGCCATCTCTGTCACCGTTGCCATCTCTGCCGTCATCGTTGCCGTTGTCCTTTGGTGCCGTCACCCGTGTCCTGGACACTTAGCCGTGTCTCCTCACCGTGGCCACTGCCGTGTGCGGCCGCGTCACGCCGCCGCGTGTGTCCGGGCCTGGCGCTCACGCCTTCTCCGCCCCCCCCCCCCGCAGTGATGAACGGCAGCGGCCACTCGCCCACGGCGGTCAGCGGGGCCCCGTCCACGCCCAGCGGCGTCAGCAATGGCCCGGCCTCCTCCTGCTCGGCCGCCCTGTCCACGCAGCACCTGCCCCCGGCCTGCGGCGCCCGGCACCTCAGCAAGCTCAAGCGCTTCCTCACCACGCTGCAGCAGTTCGGCGGCGACATCTCCCCGGAGATCGGGGAGCGCGTGCGCACCCTCGTGCTGGGCCTGGTGGTGAGTCGGGGCCCCGGGGTGGGCTCGCCCTCGCGCTGCCCGGCGCCCTCCTGGCTCTCAGGCCGCCCGCCCACCCCCGGGCCGGCGCGCTGACAGCCCCCCCTGCCTCTCCCCCACCCCAGAACTCGACGCTGACCATCGAGGAGTTTCATTCCAAGCTCCAGGAGGCCACCAACTTCCCGCTGCGGCCCTTCGTCATTCCCTTCCTGAAGGTAACCGCGGAAATCCCCGGAAGGCCCAGCCCGTCCCCCGCCAGCGTGAGGCCGGGCTTCGCTCTTAGCAGACCCGGGACCCTCTGGGCCCTGGTCTCCCGGGGAACGGCCGGCGCCGACCGGTCGGGGCTGATAGTCTAGCGAGGGCCTCGGGCTGGTGTCTGACGGGACCGTTGGCCGCAGGATCCAGCGCGGTGCGGCAGAGCCCCAGCTCGGTTCTGTCATTGTTGAGCGGCGCACCAGGTACAGTGAGGCTCAGGGACGCAGCCAGGAGCAGGCAAGGCGCGCCCTGGAGCCTGCGTGCAGGTGTGGGGAGGTGACCTGGAGATGCCTGTTGTGCGGACAAATATTCCCCAGGGCCTGCGGGGTGGGCGCGTTGGTGAGGGCGGAAGAGCACGAGAGGGAGCTGGCGGGCAGCCGGCACACCACGTGCAAAGGCCCTGAGGCAGGAGCTGCCCCCTGTGCGGAACAGCATGGCGGCCAGTGTGGCTGGAACAGAGAGAGGGGAGGCGGTGAGGGCGGGAGGCCGAGCACAGGCGACAGGCAGACGGGGAGCTGGGGGCGTGGTGGCATGAAGAAGCATCAGACAGCCGGGCTCAGTGGCTCACGCCTGTCATCCTAGCACTCTGGGAGGCCGAGGCAGGAGGATCGCTCAAGGTCAGGAGTTCGAAACCAGCCTGAGCAAGAGTGAGACCCCGTCTCTACTAAAAATAGAAAGAAATAATTGCCAACCCAAATAATTAAGAGAAAAAATTAGCCCGGGCATGGTGGCGCATGCCTGTATCCAGCTAGCTCCCCGGAGGCCTGAGGAGGAGGATCGCTTAAGCCCCAGATTGAGTTGCCGTCGAGCTAGCCTTGACGTCAGCGGCATCACTCTAGCCTGGGCAACAAAGGAGACCTCTGTCTCAAACCAAAACAAAAGAAAGCGTCAGAGATAGCGGGTGGTGCCGTCCCAGCTTGGAAGATGGGCCCCGGCCGGCGGCAAACCCTGTGCACTCCAGCGGGTCAGAAGTCCGGCTCCCCCTCGGCCCCCTTACCCGAGTGAGCCCGTGCTTCAAACCAGTGCCAGCGGTTATCCGTCGTTGCACACAGAGGTGGGACAAGGCACAGGCCAGAGGTCCGGCCAGCGGAGGATCTCTCCCCCCCCACTCAATCCCGTGGCGTGGCGTGTTCTCCTGAGGGATGAGGGTGAAGCCGATCCCAGCGTGTATTCTGTCCACGTGACCTCGCCTGTGCCGAGCCTGCTCCGTGGCCAGGTCCCACAGAGCTTAGCCCCGGGAGGAGCTGTCCAAGCCCACCACAGGTGCCCACGCTGATCACCGTGGCCTCCTGCAGCCCCGGATAGAGGGGGCCGGCCCAGCCTTGAGGACAAACCACACCCAGAAAACGGCCCGGGTATCCCCACGCTGCCAACTCCGGCCACACTGGGCCGGGCCACACGCAAACGCCCAGTGCCCTCGGTTTTCTGCACCTGCAACACAGGGAGCCCCCTCTCAGCCTCTCAGGGGCTGGCATACGGGCGTGTGCACGAAACTGGGCGGCCCGTTCGCTGCCCGTCGGTAAACGGGCGGCCGCCCGTTACGCCACCAATCAGGGCTTTAGGCGTCCCTTAGAACAGGAAGGCTCCAGAAAGTTCCGGGGCACCTCCCGGACCCTGGGAAGGGTGTGGCAGAGCCGCCACCGCTGGTCCCCAAGAGCAGGCGGGAGACTAAGGCCCGGAGCCCGGCTCACAGCTGGTCTGTCCCTCTCCAGAGCCCACGGCCTTGTCAGGGCCCCAACCCCTCCAGTCCCTCACCGGTGGGGGGGTCCCCCACGTCACACCCACAGCCCTCCCTCCCTCCTTCCTGCTGCGCCCCGCTGCACTCACTCCTGAGCCGGCCATGGAGCAGGAACCACTGGGCAGCAGGAAGCTACGCCTGGTGCTATTTGCAGTCTGTCAGCGGCTGTCCCCTTGTCCCCTGGCTCCTCTTTAATGACCCCCCTTCCGGGGGGTCCAGGCAGGACACCTCCGGGCCAGCACTGCTCTGTGTAGGGCCCTCTCTGCTTCGGTTTCCCCTCTGCACACAGAGCTCTCGAGAGGCTATGCGGGGCCGGGCACGTGGCCGGCAGGTGGTCAGGGACTCGAGGCCTCTCGGTTTTCCTGACCTGGAGCTTCTAGGGCAAAGCCGAGAGGATCAGAAATGAGGATAAAAAGCATCGCGGCCAGTTCTGTTCCCAGGTGCTGGCCGAGCCCTGGGCTGCTGCCATTTTATTTCATTTTTTTATTTTTTTTAAGTAATTTTTGTTGTGGGCCCCATTTTATTTCATTTTTTTATTTTTTTTGAGACAGAGTCTCACTTTGTCACCCAGGCGGGATAGAGTGCCATGGCATCAGCCTAGCTCACAGCAACCTCAAACTCCTGGGCTCAAGCGATCCTCCTGCCTCAGCCTCCCAAGTAGCTGGGACTACAGGCATGCGCCACCATGCCTGGCTCATTTTTTTCTCTATATATTAGTTGGCCAATTAATTTCTTTCTATTTTTAGTAGAGACGGGGGTCTCGCTCTTGCTCAGGCTGATCTTGAACTCCTGACCTCGAGCGATCCACCCTCCTCGGCCTCCCAGAGTGCTGGGATGACAGGCGTGAGCCTCCGCGCCCGGCCTGCCTCCACTTTAGACGCAGCGGTGGGAGGGCCCAGCCTTGCGGGGCCGGACACAGGCCTGGCGGGAGCGACCCCCAGCGGCCGCCTCTGAGACCTCAGGGTTCTGTCCGTGGCCTGGACCCGGGCCAGTGGCGCCTTCCTGAGCATTCACAGCCCCGCAGGCCCACCGAGGCACACCCTCGAGGCCGCCTCAGCGACATCTTCCTAGAAAAGGCAGGAACCGCGGCTGAGAGCGCAGCTCTGGCTCCGGCTCTGACGTGGGTCCCACCGCGAGTGGGGCGAGGACGCACCCCACAGTCTGTGGGAAAGAACCCCTCGGGGTTTCCACAGCTCATCTGCAGATGGGGCAAGATCAGACAGGTCAAGTGAGCTGCTCAAGGCCACACAGCCCCTCGGAGGGGAAGCTGGGTGGGCCGCCTGCAGAGCCCATGGCCCGGCAGGCTTTAGCGGAGGCACTTAGAGCCGCAGAAACCTCTCCAACCCCGTCACTCAGCCAGTGCCGTCTTCGTTGTCTTTGCAAATATGAACTTCCCTTGGCCTGAGGTCCTGTCTGGGAAGGGGCAGTGTCAGAGGGCGGCGTTGGGTCCCCGAGTGTTTTGTGACCCGCTCGGTTCGTCCAGCATTTTCCTGGGGACCCTCCTGGGGCGCCCTGGGCTCCTGGGGACAGAGGGGGGCAGCTGCCTCCACCGCTGTCTGTCCTGGGGGAGCCCCCCTGCCGGGGCCACACACAGGGGTCCCTGCAGCCCCTCCGGAGCCCGCCCCGGCCAGGAGAAGCCGCCCCACCCGCCAGCCCTCCACCGCGGCCCGCTCCCAGCTGGCCCGAGCCGGCCGGGATCCAGATGTTTCCACTGCCCTGCCTGCGGCCAGTGGTGCCTGCCGGGCGGAGGGGAGGGAGTCTGGCTCCTCAGACCTCCCGGGAACTCCTTCCCGGCTCGCGCCCCTAACGTGTCCGACAGATGGCGGTTGGCGCGCGTTCAGCTGCCCAGACAGAAAACAGGCGGCCGCGGGGCCGGGTGGCCTCGCTCTCGGAGGCCGGGGAGGGCTGGCAGGAGGAGGCCGCCGCGGCAGCTTGGAGACGCATGGGAACCTCAGGGACTGTGTTTATTTGCCAATACTTGGATCCGCTGGCTCCCGCCGGGCCCGTGGCCAGCGCTTGGGGCCGCCCGGCCTCCGTGGCTCCGGGAAGGCTTTGCAGAAGGACGGGAGGCCGGTGGGCGCAGGGTGTGAGAGGCAGGGCCCACGTGCGGGTCCTGTGTGCCGGGCAGTCATTCAAGCCCAGGCTGGGGTGCCTGTTCCCCCAAACGCAGCCGAGTCGCCGTGGCATCACCGGTGGTAACGTCCACGTGCCACCCAGCACCCGGCTTCCTGCAGGGCTGAGGCCGGGAACCCGCAGGGCGTGGACAGGGCGTGGCCGACTCCCTGGGGTCCCATCCGTGCACGTTGGGGTCCACAGCCGAGGCTCTGCCCTCACCCACACTCGGGTTCCGTCCCCAGCTGGCCCGTGCCGTTAGCTGTGTGCCTGGGGCGGGCTGCTGCCCCCCTCTGGGCCCCCCCCCCCGTGTCCTCTTCTGTGGCCTGGATGGCGTGGCGCCCGAGTGGCCAGGGTGCAGGTGGGGAAGGCCGACTAGCATGTTCCCGCCACACGGCGACCACACCTTCCCCGCGTTGCACCAAGGGAGGGACTTGGTGATGTGGAAAAGCCAGGGAGATCAGAATCTGGGCCTGGGTCCCCTGCACCCCAGAGACCCCTGCACCCAGAGTCCCCTGCACCCAGAGTCCCCTGCACCCAGAGACCCCTGCACCCAGAGTCCCCTGCACCCAGAGTCCCCTGTACCCAGAGTCCCCTGCACCCAGAGACCCCTGCACCCTAGAGACCCTGCACCCAGAGACCCCTGCACCCAGAGTCCCCTGCACCCAGAGTCCCCTGCACCCAGAGTCCCCTGCACCCAGAGTCCCCTGAACCCAGAGTCCCCTGCACCCAGAGACCCCTGCACCCAGAGACCCCTGCACCCAGAGACCCCTGCACCCCAGAGTCCCCTACACTCCAGAGTCCCCTACACTCCAGAGACCCCTGCACCCCAGAGTCCCCTGCGCCCCAGAGACCTCTGCACCCAGAGTCCCCTGCACCCCAGATCGCTGTGTGCCCCCGGCACCGTGCGGAAGGCCAGGCTCCAGGAGGGGGGGCCCAGAGAGGTCGTGACACCTGGGCAGAGTCACACAGAGGCGAGGCTGGCACTCGGGCGGTGCCTCTTGCCCACGCCGCCCTCCGCCCCGCAGGCCAACCTGCCGCTGCTGCAGCGCGAGCTCCTGCACTGCGCCCGCCTGGCCAAGCAGACGCCCGCCCAGTACCTGGCGCAGCACGAGCAGCTGCTGCTGGACGCCAGCGCGGGCTCCCCGGCCGACTCCGCCGACCTCCTGCTGGACGTCAACGAGAACGGCAAGAGGAGGACGCCGGACAGGTACCCGCCGGCTCCCGCCCTGCCAACCTCTGGAGAACCACCCGGGACCAGCCCCCACCAGGCAGGCACTGTCCTGCGTCCCAGGCTGGGGAGCCGAGGGGCTGGGGAGGGGCCGCCGCCCGGGCCAGAGCGTCAGTGGCCTCCCGTGGGCTATGGGCCGTGGACCCGTGGGCCATGGCTGTGGGCCGTGGATCTGTGGGCTGTGGACCCGTGGGCCGTGGACCCGTGGGCCGTGGACCATGGCTGTGAGCCGTGGACCCGTGGGCCGTGGACCCATGGGCCGTGGCTGTGAGCCGTGGACCCGTGGGCCGTGGACCCATGGGCCGTGGCTGTGAGCCGTGGACCTGTGGGCTGTGGACCCGTGGGCCGTGGACCGTGGACCCGCTGCCCCCAGGCCCCAGGCGGGGAGTCTGTCTGTCGGAGACGTCCTTTGTGCTGGACGTAGACCCCGAGCATCCAGGAGTCCGAGGTCCCCAGGCCGAGCCCTCGGTGCTGGCCACGGACGTGCTGTCCCTACTGTCCGAGGGGTGCACAGGGTCTCCCGCCGCAGGAGGTCGGGCCCCAGGAGCAGGGGGCGGCTGGGCCGGGCGCCGGGAGCTGGTCTGATCCTCTGTGTCTGTCTCCCCCACACCCCTTTCTCTCTGCCCACGCCTGTCTCCCCGCACCCCACGCCTCGGCCTGACCCGTAACTGCCGCCCCGCCCCCACCTGCTCTTCGCGGTAGGACCAAAGAGAACGGGTCGGACCGGGACCCGCTGCTCCCCGAGCCCCTGGGCAAGCGGCCCTGCACCCTGAGCCCCGCCCAGCGCTACAGCCCCAGCAACGGGCTGCCCCACCCCGCCCCGCCCCCGCACTACCGCCTGGAGGACATGGCCGTGGCCCACCACTTCCGAGACCCCTACCGCGCCCTGGACCCCCGGGACCTGCGGGAGCGCCATCGGCACCTCGGTGAGCAGAGTGCCCGGGGACGGGACACGTGTGTGCTAGCGGGAACACGCGTGTGTGCGCCTGGGTTTGTACACGTGGGGGCACGGCCGGCAGCCGTGTGCACCTAAACCGGGAGACACTGCCTGTGGTGCCACCTGGCCTTGTCTGTCCAGGAAGGGCGCTGGGGGAGGGGAGGGAGCCCGCCTGGCTGGGCCAAGTCCCGGAGCCTCTGTCTTGGGGGGCAGCCTGACCTCTGGCCTTGCACCCCTCGGGGCCTGGAGTTCCCCCGGGGACTGACCAGGCTGTGGCCACGGAGGGGTCGTCCCGGGGCCCTGGCACCCAGCTCTCCCCCAGGCGGGTGGCCGGGGGCCTGGAGCTGACCACTGGGTCCCGTCCAAGCTTGGCGACTCTCCCCAGTGCACCCGCGGGTGGGTCACACGGCCCTCTGTGCCTCAGTTTGCTCCTCTGCCACCTGATCAATGGGGGCAGCCAGTGCGGGGTGGAAAGAGTCCTCCGGGAGGCCCAGCCGCCATCAGCGAGAGGGAGGACGTCTCCGGGCAGGGCACCCGCCGCCCGGCTTGTCTGTGTCCTTCCCTCGGTCCCCGGAGCCGGGGGCAAGGTGGGCATCAGCCCACCCAGGCACTGAGGCCCAGCGAGTGCAGGTGACCCGCCCAGAGCTCTTAGCCACGCCTGCGTGACCTTCCGCCCCTCCTCTGTGTGGGGACCCCGGGATAGTCAGGCCGGGGACCCCCGGGACCTCCAGCGTGGGGACTGGGAGGCAGAGCCTGGAGGCCACCCGCAGGGAGCCGGCGGCAGGGTCAGCGGAGGCCTCGCCCTGAATGAGCCCGTCTCCCCAGCCCCGCCCTGCGGAAGCTTCCAGGCCCTGGGCCCAGGCAGCAGGTGACGGCGTCTGGCTGGCTGCAGCTGGGGTCAGGCAGGTGATAATTCCCACCGCTTCTGCTAATGCAAAAATAAACGCCAGCTGTCGGGCAGGCCTCAGCCGCCACCATGGAGGAGGGCATCGGCGCAGGCCGCAGGCAGCGGGGCAGGGTGGTGGGCACGCGCTGTGGCCGCCACCTCTTCTCTCCTTCTGCAGTGGGGCGAGCAGACCTTTAGGGACTCAAGAAGTCCTGAACAGGGCCGAGCGTGGTGGCTCACCCCTGTAACCCTAGCACTCGTGGGAGGCCGAGGCGGGAGGATTGCTTGAGCTCAGGAGTTCGAGACCAGCCTGAGCAAGAGCAAGACCCCATCTCTACCAAAAATAGAAAGAAATTAG